CACACACACACACACACACACACACACACACACACACACACCTTTTTTCTCCTTTTCCGTGTACCAAGATGCAGCTCAATATAGTATCCCAGGGACTGGGCTGGGGTGTCGGTAAGAGCAATTTAATGGAGGGCAGTCATCTTCCCAGTTTTGCAGAAATGAAATGGAGGCTTAGGGTATGTCACTCAAGGTTATCCACCCATCAAGCAGGATAAATAGAAATGAAAATTTCAGTCTGTTTTATTTCAGAATGTGCTGGCCACATGTGGTGAGAAATCAGAGAGTGTTGTAGTAGGAAGGGCCATGATCTGATTTTACAGGAAACCCCTTCAACCAAATACATGTGGACAAGGGACAGAGCTTGAAAATTGGGTTCAGTGGTGTTTATAGCTTTTATGGCCTTTGGCTGGTATCAAGTACATAAATGATCTCTGTTTTAGGTTTGGTAATTGTTGCTTTATTCATTCTTCCTCTTAAACCAATTGGAAACCAAATGGCAACTGTCCTAATGCACTCATGTAAATGTGGAAAAAGCAATGTATTTACAGATCAAATTGGGAGAGGAGTTTCTACAACATCTACTTTTCTGCAACACACACTGGGGAGAGTGGTTCTTCCTAGATTAATTGAAGCAATTCAGACCCACAAGATTATCATAGACCACTTTGAGGTCAGGACACTTAGGACACTGGAAAATAGGACTCTGAACTTGCCAAAGGACAGTGCCAGGTGTCCCTCACAGTTGAGAATCCTTGCAGCTGTTCATTCAGTAGTGGCAAGAAGATGAAATTGCATATGGCGGGTGCGGGAGCAGCCCTGACTTGAGAGCCTCATGCCCCATGAGGTGCCATCTCCACTCACAGCTTGCAGACATGACATTTATAGGTGCTACCACTCAGGGAAGTATCAACTGTAAAGACTCCCCACAGGTGTTCAAGTCCCTCCAGGCCAGATGCAAACTTCGCATTCAAGGATCCATTTTATGGCAAGCAGTGTTGCCTAGGAATACAGTTGATAATCCAGTTGTTATCAGGTTTCCAGAAAAACAGAGCTAGACTGTCAAACAAAGGTCAAATTCTCGTGCTGAAGGGGAAAGGATTTGTTCATTCTTTGTCCACAGATACAGAGGGTGATGGAGTGTACCCCTGTGCCTTCACATAAGAATGCAGGCAAACAATTTCAAACACATAAGAAATCACTTGATTCATAAGCCCACCACATCCCTTGATTTACTTATTTCTAAATTGTATGATATTTGATATTAGAGAGCAGTTCTATATAAAATCTTTATTCTGTATTTAAGGTACATCATGCACCTGATTTTGTGTATTTGAGGGATAGCACATACATTCATATCATAGATATGTGAGTAAATATACAAAATATATTTGTAAAATATTTGGAAGAATCAAAATGAATGATTTTTAAATTATACTTGCTACAGAATAACTGTCTCCTGGAATTAATGAACTTTTTACCTGTTTCTGTAGCCTACAATGACTCCTTTTGAGTTCATGGACTGTTAAAGACTGGTAATTGATTTATGATGTAAACATTCCCAGGGGGATCATGAAGATGCAGCCCCAGGTGGTAAAGGTTTTCCTGGACTACCAGGCTCCCCTGGGAAAGCAGGACCCGTGGGGCCTCCAGGACTCGGATTTCCTGGTCCACCGGGAGAGAGAGGTCCACCAGGAGTTCCAGGCCACCCAGGTCTGAGGGGTCCCTCTGGCTTGAAGGGGCAGAAAGGTAATTTTGAATGCTTTTGTGGCAGAATATTAAGTGAAATTGTGAGAGCTATAGTGAGCTCTGCTGGGCAAAGTGATTATAGGTATGGCTTATTAGATAAATAAATTCTACCCAGGCACTCTTTGTATCTTGCAGGTAGTCAAGATTGCAATACAATCAATATTTAATGCAAATTCTTAAAATGCCTAGTTATCTTTATTGACTTATTTGTTTGGCATACCAAAATTGCTTTTCATTCATTTATCAGTATAAACTCATATAGTTTGACTATATTAAAATTATACATATATGCATATATATTCAAAGTATCTATTTTTTGTTATCTTTTGAGATGATGCAATATATTTTAATAAAAGAAACACTAGTATGTCATATAAAAGAATCATTGTCCATGAAAAACCAGTTGTAAGCATTCTGGGAAGAAAAAAAAGAGGATAATTTTAAATATATTTGACAGTTGTGTGACTTTTACAGAATAAAATGATTTTCAGGGTTATAGCTAAAACTTTTAGGAAGGTGACCAAGAAAGTTTATTTAAAATTTCTTTTATAATGTACATTGGCCTACATTGTTAATTTTGAGATTTTAAAATAAAATAAATATTTGTTGCTTGCTTTGACAATATAGATTAACAAATACCTTTGTATTTGATAAGGTGTAAGTTTTTGTACATGATAAAGATGTAAGTCTAATGACCCCAAAACTCTAGCATCATTTTTTTTAGGCAGGGGTACCAGGGATTGAACTCAGGGGCCCTCAACCACTGAGCCACATCCCCAGCCCTATTTTGTATTTTATTTAGAGACAGGGTCTCATTGAGTTGCTTAACCTCACAGTTGCTGAGGCTGGCTTTGAACTCGCAATCCTCCTGTCTCAACCTCCTGAGCCGCTGGGATTACAGACTGCGCCACCGTGCCTGGTGCATCATTTTTATTTATCTGATTTTTTTTTCCCACTGTGCTAGGATAGAATGGGCCACCTCAGTAACTTCTGAGGCTAATACATTCCTATTCTTGCAATTACTCTATCAAACACTGTTCCCTTAGTTTCTGCCATGTCATGCAGAGCTAGTGACAGATTTTTGTACTCATCTTGTATGTTTTGGATTTGAAAGTATATGTAGTAATAAATTGTGAGATATTCCTTTTACAAAAGAGACACCTTCAATTCTAGTAGGATCTTGGAACTCCGAGGCACAGGCTTGAAGTCTTATTCTCCTTACCAATTAAAATGGGGATGATAACAGCTATATTGCTTAGTCATTAAAAGAACCAAAGACAATATATTTAAAGTACCTACACATGGCAGGCCCTCACTGAATGGTAGCTTTATTGGTGTCTAGTTCAGTCTCTTCATTTGTATAATTCTATATTGTGCAAACAAGTTGCCAACTCTCAACTCTGTTTTGGAACCTTGTGCTATTTCATGATTTGTTAAAGCTTCTGATTCTGTCATGTTGGATACCAAGGCCCTGTTAGTACAGATGCCTATGGATCTGTGAGCACATTGGTTTTTTCTAGATTATGGACACATACTTAGAAACAGTGTCTTTCTTATATTCATTATGCTGATAATGTTTCAGACAGCTGAAATTCAGATTTCAGGATAGTTCTCAAAATTTGATATAAAAGCATTTTTTTTTTTTTTTTGGTCCCAGGTATTGAACCTTGGGCTGCTCAACCACTGAGCCACATCCCCAGCCTGTTTTGTTTTTGAGACAGGGTCTTACTAAATTGCTCAGGGTGCTAAGTTGCTGAGGCTGGCTTTGAACTTGTGATCACCCTGCCTCAGTCACCTGAGCCACTGGGATTGCAGGCACACATCACTGAGCCCAGCTTGGATTAATGCAATTTAATATACTGAATGATACTTGGAAGCGTCATTCAGGTGATCCTTTGAATTCTACATGTGCTACATATAGGGGAACAGGTCTTAAGCAAGTTGTCACTGAGGCTTACCTTGCCTGGGACTCACCTTGCAGTTATGTAAATGACTCTCTTCTTTTCATTCCAGGTGACACCATCCTTTGTAATGTAACCTATCCTGGGAGGCCAGGCTCTCCGGGTTTTGATGGACCTCCAGGTACTTTCTTTGAGGAGTTATTGTCTTATACACTTCCAGAGCAAAAGAACCAGCAAGACAGATAAACCAATAGCAAAATCTGACATCAAGTTAGAATATTTGTAAAATTATTATAATGTTTAAGGGCTAATGGGACTAGGGGAAAACAGCATTTGGAATAATTTATAGCTGGAACCCTAGCCTACTGGCTTGGGCACACTCTGAATGGGCTTTTCAAGTTTTGGTGCACAGAATTTACCTTGATCTAATCACATATCAGCTACAGTGTCCTCTGAGAATTTTAAAGCTGTGTCTTCCTTTTCTTCCTGTTTCTGAAGAGGATCACTTGTTTATGGATTGTGATTTTTCACTTCATTCAACTTTCCAAGAGGACATGCTTCTGATCAGACATATTCTGAAAAATCCCACATGCTTGTGTTCTTGATTGCACTTTCATGCATCTGCTTCATTTGAATCAATCACTTGTTCTTAGCTGAATTAAAGCCAAATCTGTATCAGGGATTTGGCCAAATTCATTTTTATTCTTTAGAGTCTACTTAAATCAACTCATTAAGCACTAGCAGAGTTTCTAAAGGTGATTTTTCTTGTCTCACGTCAGAGCCCTCATGTGACTGCAGAAACGCAAGAGGACAGGCCCAGATTCCCAGGCTCCCTTCATACTTTGCATTGCATAATAGCTGTTAATGTCCAAAGTCAATCAAGCCCCACGTAAAAGGGCAGGAGGTAGTACACTCCATCAACCTTAAGGCAATGGTGAGGGTGTAGAAGTATAATTCTTTATCAGCGGAGTGAATAACTGCTGGGTAACTGACTGAATGAAGAGTCATTTCCTCTTCTAATGATACCTTGTCATGAATGGATAAAAAACGTTTCATTGTTTTCACCAGCCTTAGCTTCAAGGAAAGTGAACACTCACACTTCAGGTTGGTAGTTGGCCTTTCTTTAAAGCTCACAATTTGTAGGTTATATTAACTGAGATATCTCCTAGCAGGAATTTAAAATAAAATCTCAATTCCTTTTGCAGGCATTTGTGCCTATTCTTCACTTATGGATTGATGCAGTAAGATGCAGGGAAATAAATTTGGCCTTTATTGTGGTGCTTTCTCACCAGGTTAGATACTGACCATTACCTGGCCCTCCTACAAGAACAGATTAGGCCTGCAGATTTGCGTTTGAGACAAGGTAAAGGAGGATACCAAGAATTCATTTCAATGGTGATATTCATACAAAGACTTTCAGGAAGAATCCTTTACAGTACAGTTGCTGAGAAAGTACCTTAACGAAATCACTTTACAAAGTACTAATTTGGAGGACATGGTTCATAAAATAATTTTGTAAACCAGGGAAGGCAAGATCTTTGCTTCCATAAAATAGAAATATTCTAAAAGAGACATAGATGTAAAGAAAGAAAGAAACAAACAAACAAAAAAACCCTCTTTGTTCCCATTTGATTTGTGTTTTTATTGAGCCTGTGTTTTGTTGCTATTGTTTAGGTCCGAAGGGATTTCCAGGTCCTCCGGGGGCTCCTGGACCAAGGTGTCCGGATGGGCAGAAAGGCCGACGGGGCAAACCAGGAATACCAGAAATACCAGGTCCACCTGGTAAATGAAGTACTTCTCTGCTTTGGGAATGTCTGTTGGGAACTTTTAAATATTTCTAAAAATGGGTGACTTTAAGAAAGTGTTCTAGGGGTTCCTCAGTAATGGGGAAATGTTTTTTTCTTGATAGATTAGACCCTTACATGTGTTGTGCTAATTTGTAGATTATAATAATCTTATGAACGTCAAGGCTCCTTCTACCTGGAAGCATGAGTTATAGGCTATTACTTGTTTATTCTATGGTTGAAATTTCTCAATCCAGACAGAATGTTTTCCAGAGAAAGAAAGCAACGAGGGAAATGTCATTGGCTTATAGAAAATGCAAAGTTTAATTTATCTCCCTACTAAGGGTGTTAAAAAAAAAACAACATTACCTACTAAGTTCTCTAAGGATTCCCTTTTAACCTTCTCCTAAGTATTAAGTCCATACTCCTGTAAATTTTAGAAGTGTGTTTTTATCAAATATCAGTCTTCTTATGTGCATTGGTGCTACACTGGTACACAACTACTGTTTTTGTTGTTAAATAGGTTTTCGTGGTGACATGGGTGATCCAGGCTTGGGAGGTGAAAAGGGATCCTCCCTTATTGGGCCCCCGGGCCTTCCTGGGCCACCTGGAGTGAAAGGTCGGAAAGGAATTCCTGGAGATCCTGCATTTGGCCCCCCAGGACCCCCTGGAGACAGAGGTCTTTCAGGAGTTCCAGGGATGAAAGGAACCAAAGGCCAACCTGGATGCCCAGGGGCAGAAGGTAGGAGGGCTCTAAGGTCTCCAGCTCAGATTTGGAACAGGCCCTGAACAACACTTAGACTGTCTTGCTTTAGATAGCTAGAATCTAAATGTTTCACCAGCTCCTTTCTTCACAGGTAGGTATTGATTACATTTCACACAACCTGCACCCCCTCGGTTGCCTTGGCATTTTATTGGCTATTTGCAAGTGCAGGACAGCTGAACATGGCTCGGTCAACTCATTCCCACACAGCAACAATGCATGTCTGCCAGTGTTGACAGGGTTGGGGACATTGGATGCAGGTAGGTGAGCAGGTCAGGCAGTGAAACTCAAGGTGGGAAGATGGTCTGGACACTGGTTCACGGCGTTTTCTGAAATCACTAAGGAATTTTCCAGGATCCAGCGTGGAGTTTGTAGGTTTTTATATATAAAAATACTCCGGGAGGTATCATTAAAATGACCACCTTCAGGACTCCAGTCTTAAAAATTCTGACCCCTTACATGTGGGTCACAACTTCGCTGAGTTGGGTGAGGGTGATCTCAATGTGGTCTACAGACCAGATGCTGTTCAGGGTCCTTTCCTAATTGTGCCAGTGTTGGTTAGGTATCCACTAGCACAGGTTAGTATAATCAGTCCTCTCTATCCACATCCCTCATTCTCAGATTCAGCCAGCCATCAACCAGAAATATCCAGGGGGAAAAAAAACTGCCCCTGTTCTGAATATGTACAGAACTTTTTTTTGGTCATAATTTCCTAAACAATCCAGTATATCAACTATTGGCATAGCCTTTTTTATTGTATTAGGTATCCTAAGGAGTCTAGAGGTGATTTGAAGTGTATGGGAGCATGTGTGTGCTTCTATGCAAATATCAAGCCATTTTAATAATAAGAACTTGAGTCACTGTGGCTTTTGGTGTCTACAGGAAGGCTTGGAACCAATTCCCTGGGGATAACAGGGGCAACTGTATAGGGCAGATGGAGGGGACTGAGGAAATAAGTCCCTGTCTTTTCCCTCAGGGAGCTTACATGGTAGTTTGTAATTCAGAAATACTTACAAGCAAAAAAAAAAAAAAAAAAACCTGAAAAGCAGTAAGATCCTATAATACCACTTTCTCATTTAAAAACTGTATCCAAGGGAAATGTTCAATAGAAGATGAATGTTATAGAAATGCTCTCATATTATCCATAGTGCAAGAAACATTGGAAACAATGAAGAGAGTTAAGTAAAACACACACATGCATGCACACACACACACGCTCAAGAAATACTTTTCAATTATTAGCAATGGAAATCATATTTGTAAAGATTACAACAGGCAGAAAACATTTGCAGATTTAATGTGCATTGTTCACAAATTATTTTAATAATCCAATAGCTATGCACTGTCATTACTATTTTTTAAATGTAAACAAATGAACCAAAATACAATGAAAACAGAAAAATATATTTTTTTAGGCTCAGGTACGGAATTATGGTGCCTTTCTTTTTCTTTCTGAAGATGAGGAACTGTGTTTCCAGTATAGAAATTTGACAGTATAAGTGATAAAATCTCTTACAAAATGCAAATTCATACAGTGCAAATTGGGTTTGTAAGTATTATAGAGATTTGGTGTAAAGCTTGCTGCAAAGGTAGAGGTTAATTAGAATCAGAAAGAACCATGTGGTTTCTTATTTGCATAGGTAACTACTTTGCCACTCACATAACCTTATCAAGTAACTCACTTAGCAATGGTTGGTTTTTCCATTCATTTGGAGCTCACTGCATTTGTGATAAGAAAAATCCATTTAGGAATTTAGCTCATTTGAGCCCTGAGTCCGGAAGAAAAGTTTACTTCCAGGATTGACATGCATGGACAATTTATTACAGGCCATCTCTGTAGTCTGAAGCCATGAATGTCATGGAGGCATTGTATCATTTCAGGGGTAGTTGGTGTTCCTGGACTCCCAGGTCTGAAAGGTCCCAAAGGCAGAGGAGGAATTTCTGGATTTCCAGGTATCCCAGGGGAGCCTGGTCATTCCTGTGAGAGAGGTGCACCAGGAATTCCAGGCCAACCAGGACTTCCTGGGGCTCCAGGTAGTCCAGGTAAGTGTCAGCAGGTGTTGAGAAAACCTAGGGGGTCTGTGGTTTACCCTATTTAAAAATAAAAATATCTGTTCTTTTGATCTCTTATGGATCTTGGCAGAAACATGAGTCTCAAATCAAAGACAAAACACTTTATTATTCCTGAGTTTCATGTTAGTTTATGTCCTTGCTCCATGTCACCCAAGTCCCATGGTACAGTGTGTGGGGGGCTGCATTCACAGTGGGTTGCATTAAATGAGGGAGATGCTGAGCCTAGGAACCACAACTCTGTAGCAGCCTGCCAGCAAGCCTGCTTTATGTCCTGGGGGAGCCATACCATCTGTCAAAGTTGCTCTCTGCAAACACAACCTTAAGAAATAGCCTAGGTAAAGAGTATCAGGACCTTGCATTCTTGCCATCCCCAGCAGGACATAAAGAGTGCAAGAGACCTATGAAGGACTGTCTCCCAATACAGATGCTAAGGGGCTGCTGTAGGGTAATTAAAGAAAATTTATTTCTTATAGTTCAGGAAACTGGAAAGTTCAAGGACAAGGCTTCAGGGGTTTGAGGATCTGTTCCTCAGAGGTGGCAACTTCTGTGCATGCTTGCATGAAGGAGAGCTCCCTCATACCTCTTTTTTTTAAACAACTTTTTAAAAATTTGTAGATGGACATAATACCTTTATTTGTTTATTTATTTTTATGTGGTAGTGAGGATGGAATCCAATCCTTCACACATAGGAGGCAAGCACTCACCCCAGACCCCTCATACCTCTTTTACAAGTCACTAATCTTAGTCATGAGGACTCTATCCTGATGACATTCACCTTCTAAAATCCCCACCTTTCAATACTATCCCGCTGGCAGTTAGACTTTAACATGGATTTTGGAGAACTCATTCAGACCATAACAGGGGCTATTTCTAATATGATACTCATTTCATTATTCAGATTGTTGGTTCTATTATTGCAGCATGTTATTGCTTTTGTCCAAATGCAAGATGTGCCCACTTGAAAAATCTAAATAAGCTTGAGGCAAAACCTGCCACTACAGCCTTCTCTCTAATGCCAGTAATGCTAGATGGTGCTGCTCTGATTTCTATAATTCTCTCATCATAGCTAACAGCCTACCTGGAGTTCACTTGGCCAGAGCTTCAAGAAGTACCTGAAAAGTTTTCTTCTAGCAATTTTGTTCTAGTAGTTTTTCTCCTTTAAAAGCACATACAAATAAAATTTTGTTTATAATGCCTAGCCATTTTTAATTAATTTTTTTTGTAATCTTCACACATCCCTCCTGGGAAATATTTATTCACATTATCTCCCCTTCTTTTTGTAGCATCCAGAAAAGAATATTCTTAGATGGATCAGAAGTTGCTCCATTATTTTAATTGATATTGTTTTGCTTTTATTTCATGGGACACAGCTAGATAATTTGGGTGGTGGGTACCAGGGTTTGAACTCATGGGTACTCAACCACTGAGCCACGTCCCCAGCTCTATTTTGTATTTTATTTAGAGACAGGGTCTCACTGAGTTGCTTAGTGCCTCACTTTTGCTGAGGCTGGCTTTGAACTCATGATCCTCCTGTCTCGACCTCCCAAGCTGGTGGGATTACAGGCGTGAGCCAGGGCGCCTGGCCCACAGATACATAATTTAAGCTTCTATGAGTATGGATTTGCTGTACATGTGTGAAGCCAGCTTCCCATTCACCCCTTGTCTTCACTGTGGTCTGTCTCAGGTGCCCCAGGTTGGAAAGGGCAGCAAGGAGATATGGGGCCTCCTGGGCCAGCTGGAATGAAAGGCCTCCCTGGGCTCCCAGGATTGCCAGGGGCAGATGGACTCCCAGGACCTCCAGGAATCCCAGGACCCTTTGGGGAAGATGGGCTGCCTGGTCTTCCAGGCCCAAAGGGTAAATAGTGCTTTTCCATGATCTCTCCCCTTTTTATAAACTTGAAATCCACTGGCAAGTAAAGCCCTTATGTATGACCAGACTCAAGAATTTACTGTTCTGTCAGCTTGATTTTGTCTTTCTCGTAATGATGTCTTCCTTCTTCTTGCCCCTGCATTGTTATTTCCAGTGGCAGAATGTCCTAGTGCAGGAAAATGGGGAAAGGACCCACAAACACTTCAGCTCAGAGGACTGGTCACCAATGCAGCCCTTGGTCAGGGTTAATGCATGTCTTCATCCTTACCCCATCCCCGGTCCTCTTAAAGCACTGTGGGATCAGGACCAAGAATCATCAGGGCCTCCATGTCAGGTCTGGAGGGTAGAAAATAGGACTGGGTGAAGGAGCAGAGCTATTAAAGTCAGTAGAGTTGACACCTGTTGTTTAGTGTCCCTGCAAACTCAGTTAGGTGTGGAGTGCACATTGCTCCATGGACTGGGAGAGCCCAGACACCAGCACCACAGCAGCCTTACCATGCTTTCCTAAAAACCCACGCTCTCGTTCCATCAGGACCCCAGGGGCTGCCTGGCTTCGTAGGTTTTCCCGGAGAGAGAGGAAAGCCAGGTCCTGAAGGACAACGTGGCAGAAAGGGAGAGACTGGAGACAAGGGCTGGCCTGGCTTCCCGGGAGAGCAGGGGGCAAGAGGTGTCAAAGGTAAGTGCTCTTGACAACACAGCCAGGCACAATGTTTGTTTCTGGTATTTGATCAGAACTTATAAATATGACCTCTGAGAAATAAAATGGGACTAATCTATGGTTTAGATTCCCCTCCTTTTTAGCTTTGCAGTATATTGTTTCAAATTTTTAAACAAAATTCGTTTTTCTTACCTTTTAACTGTATTGCCTGCAACTATGGTAAATGAATTGCTCTATTATTAGGAAATAAAATAATCAGTGGTTTGTGACACAGGGACTTATAGATGGTGGGTTTCAGAGAACTTTCTCAGCTGTTGGAAGGCCCTGTCCCCCAACTTCTGTTTCAATTAAACCAGGGATTGGTAGCCTGTTTCTGTAAAGAGCATGACAGATGATATTTCAGGTGAACAGAAGCCAGAGGCAACACACAGAAGTAAAATACGATCTTCCAGTGCATTTTTATTTCTGGACACTGAAATTTGAATTTCATATTACTTTCACAAATTTATATATAATTTTCACAAAATATTGTTTTGTGCTTTCTGTCTTTGAGTCCTGCCCCATTCCCCTGCAACCATTTAAAAGTGTAAAAACCATTCCCAGCTCTTGGTTGTACAAGAACTGGCAGCAGGAGGGATGTGGCCTGTGGGCTGTAGTTTGCAGACCTCTGGATTACAATAAGCTGATTTTCATCTGTGCCTTGAGTTCAGTTGCCCCCAAGTTTCATTTAAAGAAAGAGTCTCATCACTATGAAAAAAAAATTAAGTTTCAAGAGCACTGACTCCAATGTCCTGTACCCCTCCTGGCTCAAAGTTTACTTTTACTGCTCAATCCTGAGGCTGCATTGGGTAAAGGTAACATTTCCAGTGTCAAGAAGAACTTTTGGCCATTTTTAGAAACAAGACTTTGGCCCTTAAAGCTCTATGGGTAAATAGTCTCATATTTCATTTACATGACCTCTTCTTTTTAGTTGACCCATCCTCCTATTTTTTGTTTTATATTACCAGCTTACAAGTTGCTTTCATAGACCCACGAGTCTAAAAGTCACTCTTTTCTTACCTTAGATAAGTGATGTTTGCAATGCTCCAATTATTCCAATAGAAATTAAAAACTGGGTGAATGCCAGTGATGTGGTGATAAACAGGCTCTTTGAAATTTTCTTTTTGAAATGTCCAATGTAGCTGACCAAGATGGTACAAATACTCTGACTGAAACATAAATAATCATCCAAGGCTGATCTGAACTGCAAAGAGCTTAGCAGCCGCTGGACAGTGTTGGCAAAGTTTGGCAGGAAGATGTTACTCCTTTTCCTACCTTTTGGAAGTCTCTGAAAAACCATATTAAAACCTGTGTCTATTCTGTCAATGTAAAGAAAATAACAGAGGGTGTTAATGAAGGGGAAGAGATGGAGCCAGAAATGAGAGATGAGCAATTCAGATTTTACAGAACAAACAGACAGTTTTGTAGATTGGAGTTTTTCAAACCTGTCTGAACTCATTGAAGACTCTGGGACCTGTTTGGCTGAACTTAGCAGACATTCTGTAGTCCCTAAGGGCTGGGCCAGCAGGGACAGGAATGCGGAAGGAGCAGTCCTTCCTTCAGATGGTCAAAGCTGGTGAAATTGTGCATCCTGTCAACTCTAATGCAGTGGAGTGGGGTTAGTGTTTAATGGGGGCTGGTAACCTGAGGGTGAAGTGAGCAACAGACAAGGTGCAGGTGTGGTGTGTGTTTTTTCTCCGGCATTACTGATTTCTACAGGAGCAAGAGGACCTCCTGGAAATGAAGGAGAGATGGCCATCATTTCCCAAAAGGGGAAACCTGGTGAACCTGGGCCTCCTGGGGATAATGGCTTCCGAGGAGAGAGAGGTAAACAAACATTCAAGGTTTCTTTTTTCCCCCATATTTTTTTATTGTACATAATAGTGGGATTCATCATTACATGTGCATGCATGCACACATTATCACTATGTAACGTCCAATATCATTCCCCAGCATTTCCTCTTTCCCTCCCCGTCCCCTCCCTCTGGTCCCTTTTGTCTACTCTACTGATCTCCTTTTGATTTTCATGAGCTCCCACTCCCCTCATCTTTCTTTTCCATTTTCCTCTCTAGTTTCCACAGGAGAGAAAACCTCAATACGACCCTTGACTTTCTGAATTCGAAATATTTTGCTTAATGTACTGTTAACAAGTTCCATCCATTTTCCTGCAAATGACATAATTTAATTCTTATTGAATAAAACTTCATTGTGTATATATATGTCACATTCCATAGTTTGACTATTGTGTTGTGCTTCTATACGTGGGCATGCATGTCATCTTTACAGATAATTCAAGTGAACTAACATGGAGATCAGGAAAGATAATTTCTGAGATAAAATTACACATTAATGAACTTTGTGATGCTTTTTTTTTTTAATTTTCTATGCTAACACTTAACTAAAGCTCTTACATATTTATAGATGCGGATACATTGGGATATTCCAAACTAGGATCAACTTGAGATACATATAAATTACTGGAGTCAGGTTTAAAGTACTTATGTTTGTAGTCATTGATGTTAAATTGAATAGTATTCAATATCCAGGTCACTTTGGTGTCTCCGAGAGCTCAGTGTGCATACAAATCACCAGAGGATCTTATGAAATTCAGATTCTGACTCCACAGGCCTGAGGCCTCCAGGGATGTTGTCTTTCTAACAAGCACCCCTTTGCCATGATGCTAGTCCTTAGAAAAATTGCATAGAAAGGATTTTGACAACCACATTTGTGTTTTCTAGCAAGTTCAGGCTTAATCTGCATGAAGCCTGGGTTCTTGCCTTGGCTCTCTCTTTGACCAGTTGCCAGGGGAAAATGTTTCAACTTCTCTGCTAAGTTCTTCCTTATTTGCAAAGTGAGTGTATTGGAGCCAATAACCTTGCACACTTTGTCCTTCTTATGGTAGTCCTGAGTCTGTTCCTGGACAGCCTCTTTCACAGTGAGGTCATGGACATCAAAAACCATGGAGATGTGGTTTAGTGCAAGTCAGAATTTCCAATGCCTTTGACTTCTCTTTTAAAAGTAGGACTGAGCCCTTTGGCACAACTATTGTCTAGCTCAAAATTTTAGCCGAAAGGTTTATAATCTTCCATTCTCATCAGGTGATACAGGAAGTCCTGGAATGCAAGGGAGAAGAGGAGAGCCAGGAAGATACGGCCCACCTGGATTCCACAGAGGGGAGCCTGGTCCAAATGGGCAGCATGGGCTTCCTGGACCTCCTGGTCCTCCAGGCTCACCTGGCCTAAGAGGGATCATTGGCTTTCCAGGGTTTCCAGGAGAGCAGGTAAGGGTTTAGTGCTGCAAGAGAGAGGAAACAATAAAACCTTTCTGCTCTTAGAATCCCATAAGGAGGATGTGTAACCGACGTGATTCTGCAATCTGCATTTGGAGTAAAATTGGGAGTTCATAACCCACTTCAATCTAATGTATGAAATATGATATGTCAAGAGCTTTGTAATGTTGTGAACAACCAATAAAAAAATAAAAAATTAAAAAATAAATAAAATAAATAAAATAAAATTACTTCCCACAAAATCAGTGTAATGAAACTTTAAATAAACCTCTTCTTTGGCTTGAAAAAAAAAAAAAAAAAAAGAATCCCATAAGGAGCCCTGATTGGCCAGTGTACATCATTTCCCTTTCATAGACTGTCGCAATGTAAGGGATCACAGAAGGAGGCATGGAGTCCTCTGGAAAGCCATGGTATAACTTAAATTAAATTCCTGACCCATGCTCATGCCTGGTTCGGCTACTATAGATGAGCAAGTCACACACTCCAGCCAGCTGTAAGCACCTCCTTAGAGACTCGCCACATGGCTGTTGGTTCAGCAGGATGAAAGGTTATCCTGAAAAAGCACCCAAGTTATGATTTCTAATCCTCCTTATCAGATTTTGCTTTAACACATTTGGTATTCATAATCATAAGTAACATACTCTTGGAGAACCATAATATATAACAAATGTAGTAGACTGTATCATACTTCTTGAAAATGTATAACAACTCAGTATCCATCTTTGGGGATAAAATGGAGTTTTAAAGTTTATGGTATAACAGGACTTCTAATTCTATTTTAGTTAATATTGATTTGTTCATTCAAAACCTAAAATTCAAGTCTTATGGTACAACTACTGTTCTGTAAGCACGAATAGAGGATGGTATCCTAATTGTTGACATTAATAGCTCTAATTCTGGAGGAGTTTTATTGACTTTTGAAAACTAGACACATGTGATAGTATGCTTGCAATGCACTTCCAATTTTCTTTACCATTGCAAATTACAAAAAAAACAAATTGATATCAGACAATTATAACCGGATCCTGTCATACCTGTGCCACTTGCATTGGTAAACCAAGTAAGGTCTTATTTTTGTTTCATTAAATTGTTAGGGTGAGCCGGGCTATCCAGGCCCCCCTGGATTTTCAGGAATTGATGGAGCAAGAGGACCTAAAGGTATGATTTGGAAACACAGTAGATGCCTGTCAAGCTCATAATCCTGGGTGCTTGCACACTGTGGATGGTCATCTTTTGCATGATAAATGAAGTGTATCAAACAAACTGGAGCATCCAAGGGACTCTCCTCAGAGAGGGTTCTCATTTGTCACTCAGATCCAAGGGTTCTAGACAGGAGGTGTCTGCAGACTCAGCTGAGTGACTTGAACCAGATTCCAAGGTAAAATACTAATGAATGAACCACCTAAGATCTTCTCGAATCTTCTCAGCTGCTCCCACCCCCTCAGTGGGGTCTGAACAGCAGAACATGTAGTAACCATAGGCCCCCAAGGGGCAGCTTGGGTGCAAGGAGACCGGCTCCACACCTGTGGGCAGTGTCCCCATTGGTTAGAAGCCCCATGTCCCACAGGAGCCAGTCTTTCTTCTAAGGACTTACTTCATAAGCTCAGCTATTAGGGTTCCATGACTTCCCAAACCAGATATAATTTATAATTGTCTTTACATAAGCCAAGAGTCAGCAATTTATTCCCCCCCCCCCAAATAAAGAACCAGATTATAAAAACTATCAGCTCTGGGGGACCTGACCTCAGTCACAACTACTGTACTGTGCTCTTGTAATATGGAAGCATCTCTAGCCAGGATGTGAACAAGGGGGTAGGGTTAGATCCCAATAAAAATTTATTTACAAAATAAATAAAGTAGCAGACTGGATTCGGCCTCACAGGTCTCAGTATATCTTGTGCCAAAACTAATGTTGCCTGGTAAACACAACTGATATTGCACCTTCATCAGGTTTTGGGGGAAAGTGAAATTGAAAGTTTAAAAATGGTGGAAAAATACTCTCAGAAAAAGAGATGTTTCATTGTCTTTGTTAGGACAAACCAACAGATAAACAAAAATCAGAATATCTTAAATTACAATGTTTGCATAAAAGCTTTAATAGTTTCACTATGGGTATATCAGTAAGTTAATATATTTCTTTAAATCTATTTTAACATGGTTCATCTTTTAAACCTTAGCCTTAACCTCACTGTGTGATTTCACAGGTCTGTCATGCAGATATATATTTACTTTAATATACTTTCTAAGTTTTTCATTTTATTTGTTCTTTTTTAGATATACTTGACAGTAGAATGGATTCTGGCATATCATACATACCTGGAGTAACTTATTCTAATTAGGATCCTATTCTTATGGTTGTACATGATGCCAAGTAATCCTGGTTGTGTGTTCAAATACAAGGCTAGGAAAGTTATATTCAATTAATTCTACTGTCCTTTTTATTCCCTTTCCTCCTCCAATACAAATTAAAATAAAAAACTTTAAACCATGAAATACTAATTAATGAGCCACCAGAATCTGATAAGACATGTGAGATGCTTTATAAATGATAATTACTGTAAGCAAACATACTTATTCAGTGAAAGCACTTTGATCTCTTTTCCAGAAATCATCACAAATAGGAACATTTTAAATTTGATTTTGATGGTTTAAGCCTTCAGCATTCAGAAATCGTTCTTCCTGTGCTCACTGATGAGTGTATGATAGTCCCTTTGTCTCTCTCCTTCACAGTACATAGCTACCTCTTCTTGCTTCTTTTGTACCTGTGTTAGGCCATGTTTGCAAGGAGGTAAAGTGACATGAATCTAAAAAGAAAAAGCTATCTCAGCAACCCACCAACAGGAGACACAGTTCTGTCAGACTGGAATGCTCGGGCCCTTAGGCAATGCATGGGGTCTTGCTTTTTTTCCTCCATGGTCTGGTTCTTTAACTTATCTCTCTACCAACTAGTTTCATCACCACCTATTTAGTATCTTTTGGGGGCCTTTCTGGATATGGTTGGATTGTATTCCAACATGTTCTACATTGAGCAACTCATGATAATCCTCTGGGTTTCTGCCCCAGTAGTCCAGGATTCCAAATCCTCAGTTTTTAATTCCAACTTCTCAAGGAAAGACTGGCTGAGTGTCATACACCAGATCCCAATCCCTTGAGCAATTAACCATGATTAAGAGTGGGGTCAGGTGCAAGCATCATGGCCACAAGGCCTGAGTGGGCTCTCTTAGAAGAGAGCATTAGTGGGCAGGTACTAACTACTTTCCTTATTCTCTCATAACCCCTCCTATTGTCTGGCCCTCCCCTCCCACTCCACTTTGAGTCCCTCACTTAAACTGGTTCCCAGCTATAATATAAGTCTTTGTATCTGGAATTAGACCAGCAGAGATGAATACAGGAGGCACTGTCCACAGTGGCCTTTAGGTGTGCATCTCTTGTGAAGTCTTCAATAAAGCACGCCTTTGTAATATTATGTTTTATAAGGACACTGAGCTGAGCTTCCTTGTAAGAGAGCTGGAAATGTGATTGCCGCATCCGAAGCAGTGACGATCTCTGCATTTGTTTCTAAAACATAATCACGGAATCACACCATGCTGGAGTAATTTCTTAAAAGGAAACCCAAGTTTGAAAACCAATATTATGGTTTCTTATGATCATTATGAACCATGAAATCATGCGTCCATTTTTAGAAAAAAAATGTAGGTTTTAAAAAAAATCTTACCCTGGAAACTTTGAATATAGTTTATAAAGACAAACATAAAATTTATTAAATCACTTGTGTGAAACTAAATTTAATTTTCTTAATGTTCTGTGTACTTTATCACTCACAGGAAGCAAAGGTGAGCCTGCCAGCCAGCGTGGCCCACCTGGTCCTAAGGGTGACCCAGGCAGCCCTGGATGTCAAGGTATAGCTGCATGTTTTTCTTATTAAAACAACAAAAAAAGTACCTTAGTTTGAAAAATAAAACCATTATATTTATCCTTCAATCTGGCAATGATTGTATCAGTGTTTTCTTTCCTCTTTGCCCATTAAATTACATAGCAGAAGGATTGTGTGTAATGCTGCCCTGGCACCCCTGGTTTGGTGGACGAACGGATCACACCCCACGGATTCTGTATTCTATCATGCTCAAGTGACCATTGACGCTGACATGACAATACACTCCCCCAGGCATGCCTATATTTTGACAAAAGTCAAAGGTGAATATTGCAAGCAATTAAAATTGGCACCATGTGCAACCTCTGCAGTTTAACAGGGCCACAGGTTCTGCTCACAGTCCTCGGTCTCCTACTGAGAACGGCATACAAGAATGCAAGAAAAGCACACCATTGTGGAGCTATCAACGAATCTACTACAATTTATGAAAAATCAGTCCAAACCGATCAAATACCAAACCTCATAGTCAACAAGAGCTCTAAGCCACTCAAACAATGATATTTTGTTTTCACTCACAAGTTATGTGGAATGCCTCAGAAGGAAGTGTGATGAACCAGTGAGCCCCTGCCCTCCTTTGAGGACACTGCCTGCTACAGGATTGACCTGTGGCAGAGGGGAAGTAGTGCTTTGCACAGCTCCATCCCTTTTAAGGAAAGGGAGGAGCATTTGCACTCAAGCCAACAGAACAGAACCCCCCAAAGGGGGGGGTTGTCTTAGGATATTTTGTTACCTTGCTTTCTACTCATATGTTTACCTTTCAGAAAATGTTGAGTATAAATTTCTACTTCCTTTATGGATCCTATGGGAGCATACATCAATCTTTAAAATATGCATGCCATTTGTGAGCCTGGTGGCACATACCTGTTATCCCAGGAACTTGGGAAGCTGAGGCAGGAGGCTGAAGCCAGCCCCGATAATTTAGCAAGACGCTGTCTCAAAATAAAAACTTTAAAAAAAAGGCCTAGAGGTGTAGAGGTTGCTGGGAAAGTGCCCCTGGGTTCAATTCCCAGTACTCAAAACAAACAAACAAAAATTGCTCTATTTGATTTAGGAATTCTACTCCTCAGAATTTATCTTAAGTCAGCAATCAGAAAAGTTGACAAAGATGCATGCACAGGAACACCCACTTCATGGATAGAAGAAATGTTTATCTACAGATGATTACTCAAATGGCTTTTTTCCAAGAGCATTCAGCTGACAATGGAGAGATTAAAAACCAGGTTTAAGCCAGGCACAACGGTACACACCTGTAATACCAGCAGCTTGGGAGTTTGAGGCAGGAGGACTGTGAGTTCAAAGCCAGCCTCAGCAAAAGTGAAGGCACTAAGTAACTCAGTGAGACCCTGTCTCTAAATAAAATACAAAATAGGGCTGGGGACGTGGCTCAATGATTGAGTGCCCCTGAGTTCAATCCCCAGTACACACACCCCCAATAAAAAAGACCAGGTTTGTATTTACATGGGCCCCTTTAAATTAAAATATTTTATATTAATAAATTTGTACATTACTTTAAAGTTTCCCTTACCGACAGCCATGCCTTAGTTCATATAACAGAAGCTATGTCTAAGCTGAACTATTACAGAAAATTTTATTTTCTTTGTTTTTGTACCAAATTGAAGTTTAAAAGGAAAAAAAAAAAAAACAAGCTATTTGGTGGCAAAACCTCCTGTCCCACAATCCTTTCTCTCCCTTTCATATGAGTCTTTTATCTCTTACACAAACAAGTGCATTGAGATAGCACAATATTTTAACTGAAATGTATAACTTAAATATATAGTTGGTGGTCAGCATCGTGGGGGTTTATAATAATGCCAGAGAAGCTTCTGAGCCAAGGTCTGTCTCTACCCTCACTGCAGTAGCTTTGGATGGGTCCATTGTCTGCTCAGTTTCCTCAACATATTACAAGATTGTTCTGAGGATCAAATAAGATACTTTGAAATAAGTTTGGAGACTAAAGATGACTCCACAGTTGTAAAGAGCAGTGATCTTCACCAACAGGCCAGACAAACGTGAGAAGATTTTTCCATGCTCATTGGTACTTTGATGGTAAACCAGGCAGATACACCATTTTATAAGCGCAAAGTAGTCCAAACTGGAGGCCTTTGATATTACCTAGTATTTTAAGTCAAAAATCATGAGTCTGAGTTATTTCACACTTAGACTTTTGCAGGATATTTGTGCTAGCCTACTTGGCCTGGTGTCCTGTGATTACTACCCTGTAAAGTGTTCCCTTTCTTACATGCCGTGACTTCAGCTTAGAATTTTAAAGTTCTGTATTATTTACCATCAGAAAGCTTTCCTAAATAGGATTGGACAAAGCTTGCCTTGAATTTGAATGAGCTTAACAAGAAGACACAGATGTGCAGTGTGTCCTGGAGTGATGGTTACGTTGATCCTTCCCCCATCCTTTAATTCAGAGAGGAGACACAGGACAGATTCTCAGATACTCTTCTTAACACACCCAAATTCTCGTGGCAAGTCTCAGAATGGCTTCTTTTTCATCTGGAGCTGACAACAGGGCTGCCATACTTTTCCTGCAGGAATGTTCTTGGGGTAAATAAGATAACACAAAGTGGAGCTGACAGATGTTAAATTCCATCAGGGAGTATGTACAGGCACAGGCTGGTTTGGTGTGTCCTAGTATGTTGCTGTGGGTCACTCAGCTACCTGAGATGCAGTGGGTGTAGAGGATGTGGAGTCCAAACATAGACACTGGGAGCTGATGAGAGCTGGCAGGTGGCAACCTCTGCAGACCTTCCATTTATTGTGGAAATGAGTACAACTGATATTGGGCTCAGGTAGGGCACATCCTCCAATCATACACAAGCAAAGCAGCTTATACAACATCTAGAAGCCAATCATCTTATGATTAATGTAACCGCACTATGAGGAAGCTCTAAATATTGTTACATGGTGGAAGGCAGATTGGTAGGTTCTTTGTCTCTATGAGAGGGGACTTTTTGAGTTGGGGGAATCATGCTCTGAGGGCTTGCCTCTCGGACCCCTGGGAATGCTGACCTCAGTCACTGAGGATGTGGTTTCTCAGAGGGCTCCATAGAGCAGAGAGCCCCATCCTGCAGGAGTTCCTGTAGGTTTTTCAAGCACTCTGAGCTGCTTGTAGCTGTTAGCTGCAAACCGAGAGTTACTCCTACATTTCCTCCCTTTTTATTAAATTTGTAACCAAAGGAGAACCATGATAAGAGAAGAAAAGGAGAGAGGAAAGGGAAGAAAAAGGTGCAGAACTACAGATAAAAAGGCGTAAGGAAGAGAAGGGGAAACAAGAACAACATCCAAACCCAGCCCTTTCCTGCAGCTGCCCTTCCCTGTGGCCCTGCTGTGGCGAGTGGGCCGCTGCTATTGGCTGGGTCTCTGTTACTTGGGTCCTGATCTGAGCTGGGTGTGGGGAGCAAAGCAGCCATGGGGGCAGGAGACGTTCCTCAGAAGGGGTGAAGGCTCAGGCCCTTGCCCAGCTGCGGGAGTGAGGATCTGTGCCTCACCTCTCTTGGCCCCCAAGTTCTCTCCTGATGGCCCCTCTGCGAAGGTGCCTGTCTTAGGTTGTTGCTCCTTGAGGAGTCTTACCCGTCTTTGACTAACGGGCCATCCTTTGGGGCCAAACAGGGTGATGTGGAGTGTGCAAGGGTTAGTTCTCTGTCTCCTTGGTACCTAATGCCCCTGTGGCCGCCAGCATCTGCCTTAGGATCCCCTTGCCCGCTGGTGGGGCCCGGGCTCTGGTCACAGGTTTTGGGAAATTCAGGTTTCTTCTCCAGGGAGGGCTCAGCTCACAGCACTGGGCGAGAGAGGCTGTGTTCAGAAAGGAAAGAGAGAGGCCATAGAACCAGCAAACAGTAATCGGATGAGAAAAAGGAAGTTGTATTGGGGCAAAGCAGAGAGACAAAAAGGAGAACTGCGACAAGACTCAGGACCTAATCCCTCATAATTGGCCCTTAGTATTTACTTAGATCCGATCCATAGCTGCCATCCACACAGCTGGAGACTCCTTACTCTCCTTTTGACTTTCCTCATATGCATAAACTATCATAGCTTGCTAAGTTTCTTCTTTGTTCAGCCTTTTTTGGAAGCATCTTAAGAACATACATTAGAACAAGAAGAGCTATGCCAGTGCCAGCAAAGATCCAGTTAGCGGGGTCAATTAAAGCTGACAATTTAACCCATAGCTGCTGTAGAATTGAGGGGTTAAGAATTAGATTTGCTCTGGTTTCTTTTAGACTGAGAATCTGGGAACGCAGCGTCATAGTGAAATTTCTAAAAGCCATATCCCAAGGTCCCTTAAGTCTATTTACTAGTTCAAGTTGAGCTTCTGTTACATTTTTTGCCGAGACAGGGGTTTAACAAATATACAGAAATTGAAGACTGCAGGGTACCCTAACATTCAATTGAAGCATATCAATTTTTTTCATCAATATGGGCAATCTGTTGTTGTAACATTAAGAAGCCTCCTTGCAAGTGCAGGTTTAGTCACTCCGGGGTGGTCAGGGCTTTGATGGAGTGCTGCACTACCTGATTAATGGTTGCAGCATTTGTTGTGGACTGGGTCAAAGCTATATCAACGGTAGGAGCTGCTGTGACCGCAGCGAGGGAGGCAGCTATGATGGCAGCAGTAATCTCCAAATCTCGCCTAACTCTGGAAAGGGAAATATATTTTGTAAAGTGAACCTCTTGAATGGAGGAGTCATCCTTCATTGGGAACCATAACATGAGGGGTGTTCTCATTAGCCCTGCTGTCTTGATGGAGAAGTTCCAACAATTGGTTAACTCACAATGGGAATTATCACAATTAAGATGACCATTTTTGTGATTTTAAGTGGAAGTTACAAAGAAGAAGGGTGGCTTAACACATACATGGTCTTGGAGTAGCATGGGTAGCTGAGGGATTATTGAAAGAGCCATTAAACCAAATGGCATCCATGGTGACAATAGGAATGACATCTATACATTTGTAAGCCTAAT